TCCCTGAGGTCGTTTGTCTCTCCTCTTATGGAATCATGAAAACATTGTTGTGCTGCTGTCTTAGAGAAGGAATGCTGCAGCTCCAGCAGGGCTGTCTGGCGCTGGGGAACCTCACAGCTAGGGATCCATTCAGGCAGTGCTGTCTCTCTTGACCCATCCTCTGGTCTCCATGCAGACTGACATGCTTCTTCATGACAAAGCTTGTACGATAGCATTCTGCTTTCCTCACTCTTTACATCCAGTGGTAAGCCTGGCTTACTTAGACTAACTGGGTTTTCTTCCCATACCGTGTTTTGATCCAAATGTGTGAGCCCAAAGTCTTTGCAGGAAAGGGAACATGCAGATTTTGGAAGGGATTCAAGTTCAGGCCTTCCTGAAAGCTGCTCCCTGTACAATGCTTCTGTTTGCAATGTGTCAGTGATTTTCTGAAGTTTGTTTTTTTGCGGCCTTGTGTCCAGATAATGAACTTTCTGGTAGCATGTCTGAGGCAGAGTGGTTTGCTCTTGGCTCACATCCCATTTCTGGTCTGTGCTTTCTGTCACTTTATACTGCTGACCTAGACTGGATGCTGTTTTTATTTTACTCAGCATCGTGTCTGAGTAGTTGGCTACAACAGTAGGAACTCTGCCTGAAGGCGAAGGCATCTGAACACTGGAGGACTGCTGTTCTTGCAGGATTGATTCACGGGGACGTCGCCCTTGAAGTAAACGTGCAGTGCGCCCTTCAAGAGGTCTCACTTGTGAGAGACTAGGCAGAAACGTTTCTTTCTATATGGAGGAAGGAGCAGGATTTACACTGTCATCTGAGTCTCTTATTTTAGCAGGGACTGCTTATTTTAACAGACTATTGTCTGAGACTAGTGAAATGGCTCAGTTAGGGGTCTCCCAGGCAAAGGGAAGCAGCCCAGACATTTGTTACTGCCTTGCCACCTAGGGAGCTTAGAATTGGACTTTATGAAAGAACTATGAACTATGAACTACGGAAAAGAAAGTATTCAGCTCCACTCCAATGCATAAGATAAAAATGAGTATAGATATGCTCTCTTCTCCTTTCTTCTATAAACATCTCTCTTCCATTTGTGGTTTCATAATCAATATGATAGTATATATGGCTTGCATTAGTGTGTTTTTAAATTATTTTAGGAATTGTTGCAAGTGGGACTGAGGATGCTCACTGGCATGTTGCTTTTTAGCTCTCTCAGCCACAGGTTGACCCACTGCTTGAATACTATTACCCTGTATTAATCATTTGTACTGTTGAGGCTTCAGATACTGGTGCAGAGTCAAGGCCGCACTGTATAGGAACAGTTACTTCAGCAGTTACTGTGCTGGACAATCCGAGTGTTTGATGTTTAACGTGTGTATGTCTAAAGTGGAATGATGTTGTTCAGATAAATCAGCATGGCCCAGGCCTCTGCCCATCACATTTCAGAAGCCAGAGGGCAATAAAACTGCTCAGTTTTGAATTAATGTAAGCTGCTAGTTTGGATTTTCATTTCCAGAGACCAGCTGTTGAAACTGTTTTTTAAAGTGTTCATCATCATAAAGTGAAACATTTGTTTTTTCATCACACTAGAGAAGAAGCTAGACAGCTTTTCTATTTCAGATACAGGGATTCAATTGTCAGAAAGTTGTAAATGTCGTTTCAAAAGGAATTTCCATACTTGGATTTTTGTTTTTAGTCCAATAGAAAAAAAGCAGGATAATTTGGGATTGTTTTGCCCAGGGCCATTTTTGGACTATAAGAAAATGACAGAATCTTACTTAGTTGCCCCGCTTTTTGTATGTCAGCGCAGTTTGAACCCAGAAGTGCTGTAAAGCCAGCAGTGCCGTGGAAGGGTGAGCAGGAACCCATTCCCTCTGTTTAATCTGCAGAATTGCTTAGTTAGAATACATTAGGTGTTTTTATGTACTCTGCATGACTATGTGCAGGTGTCACTGAATGGCTTAAGCCGTTACAGGTAATGATGCATTAGCAAAAAGCAGCTCAACCTGATTTGCTATGCTTATATACCATGTTATGCTTTGTTTGCCTGAGTAGCATTTAATACAAATACCATCTTTTCACTTTTATACAGGCCACACAGAATAAAAAATTGTTGAAGACAATAAACATGGAGTTTTCCAATAGAGTTTCATACATTCTTTAGAGTAAATCTTTGCATTAAAATAGAATCTGATAATGTTACTGATGTACCCTTAAGGAAAAAAGGCAAATCACTCACATAAATGGAGGAGGATGAATCATAGAAACTCAAACTAAAACTGGTATAGTTAGTAAGGAGGCAATAGCCTGCAATGGTAATAGGTCACTTATCAAATACACAATGTGCAATAAAGACAGTAAGTTGATGAGTTCAGTGGAGTTGTCCTGATTGACACCAGCTGAATATCTAGCCAATGGTTCAGTCTCTGAAGTGCTGCACCATTCACATGAGAGCTGCCAGCTCGTTTTATGGAGACTGTTACTCATACTTCTTAAGGCAAAAGGTCATTTGAATTGCTGTCATGTGTTGGTGGCAACTTTAAATGATAAGATAAAAAATAAGCATATAATCACAATAACTTTCCCCTCTGCAACCCCTGAACAAGTGGTTAATCCCTTACAGAAGTTCTGTCAACCAGCTGTGTCAGGACCGATATAGTATATTGAACTTTTGCCTCTGTTTTAGAGTGAGCCTTGCCCTGTGCTTAAGTATTATCCAAGGGAAGGCTTAATTCTGCTAGCTGAAGCTGGTACTGCTCTTGCCAGTATTACTTGTGGTGGAAGCATGAGATTCTTAGTAAATACAGTACTTACTAGTTCCATGTCTTCACCTAGTTCTCCAGTTAATCTGCCAACTGCTTTCATGTAATAGTTATCCAGGATAAGGGGATTCATAGGACCTCTTCCTTAATGGAGACATATTTTATTGTCACACATTTTTATTGGTTAGGAAAATCAGAATAATGCACAGTCCCCCTGAAAAACCTCAGATAATTTACAGTTTGTGTGGCCTTTGTTACTAATGACAAGAAATTAATTTCTTTGAGAAGTTTAGGCTAACACTTTGTGGTCTTTCATTGCTATACCAAGTGAATTAATTTAACAAAAAAGCTTACCTGTGAAGTCCCGATTGTATGTTGTGATCCCCAGAGCCCTTTCAGTATTTCGTAGCATATTGGCTGTTCTTGAGGAGAGGTTATGTTCTAGCTCTTTAAAAGTGGAGTTAGGGGCCACTATTTTTGGTGGGTTTGGATAGTATGTTTGACCCTTTTGTTCAGCAATCTTAGGAAGCTGAAGGATAAGAAGAAATAGGTAAGGTATAAGGCCTGTGTGTGCTGGATGGAAAAGACTGTTTTACAGGTTTGAAATAACACGTGTCACATCACCCTCCCCTCCCCCAATTATCTGTTTAGTAAATGCTAATAAAATAGAAATGTGGTGGAAAAATGTCTTCAGTACAGTATTAGTGCTTAAGTGGAAGATACAACAGGTACATAAATTCAGTTGAACTCAATTGAAATAACTTGGAATCGAGTTCTCCATGGTAGCCACACCTAGGCAGAACATTACATGCTATATAAGCTTTCTTTTTTAGTTACAGTTACAGACTACTTTAAGATGGACTGCTGCTTATTGTCTCCCTTGCCCCATCCATATGTTTGTGTGTCTACAAAAGATGTATCTTTCTTTGTTCACTGCTATTTTTTCCTACACTATTCATGACTTTTATCTGTCATCAGGCTACATCCCTCCAGGAAGAGAACTAACGTTTAGCCAAGCTGTAGAATAGTAGAAACATGATCATTGATGAACAAATTCACTCTTCTATTTTATGGACCAGCCCAGCCTCCATCATTACACCGGGGAAGGCAAAGTTGGAGTCAAAGACTGTCCACAAAGAGGACATCTATTTTCTTGAAGACATGGAAACAGAGACAACAGCCTGTCCGTACGTTGGGAGGACTTCTGGAGAGGTAAGGAGGAGCAAAGATCTACTGCTGTCCAAACCCATTTCTTTGAAGGGCTTCGGAGTGTAATCTGGGCTTCTGAAGGAAGCCCCTGGCTCCCTCCCCCAAATGTATGGTCAGCAGCTATTATTGCTGCTTCTTTGTGTTCTTCTTACCTCTAGAGCTACTTGGCTAGGTCCTGTGAGAGCTAGTTACTGCTTAAAGGACTTCAGAAACAGAACAGCCTGATAGCTTCTGATCTTCTTTATATATTGCTGAGGTGGCTGAAAACAGTTTCTAAACTTTTCACTATATGTATGCTTGATGCCTAATTCATAGCCTACAAGTGTTCAGAACAGTACAGGAGCTCTCTGTGTAAAAATGACTCCCATGAGAGAGAAGCAGAGAAGTTTAATTAAAAAAAAAAAAAAAAAAGGGGGGGGGGCTTTTGCTTTTTTCTGTATGAACTACATACCTGGAAGTATATGTCCTGTCCCGGCCAGTGCACAGCCGCCTTCTGGGAGTCAGAAGGAATACTGACAACTTCATGCCTATATGGATTACCTATAGGGGAAATATTTAACATGTTCTAATGGAATATCATTGACCAGAATGACATATCAGCATTTTAAGCTGTAGATGTATGCTCACTATAAAGACAGCTGTGATGGTGGAAGAGGTTCTTTCTGTGAGCTGTTGCTAATGTCTTCTACTTTGGGAGACTGACCTTATGGATCTGCAGACAGAACTAATCTTCACTCTTTTGGTACAAAATCAGCAGGGTTAGATCAGATCACTCATTTACCTGGCATAAGTTAACCCCAGCTGTCTTTTTGGAAGCACTCAATGTCGTTATCTGCACCACCAGACCTGCAAGGCTAGTTGTCTCACGCAGAGAGGTGGTGACATGCAGCTGAGGACTGGATCTTATACCAGATAAAGCTGCCTCTGCAGAAAGCCATCTGCTCATGGCCAATTTCAGGAGCTCTGGTTTGATTCACCCACCAACAGGGAAGATTCTTATTGCATTTTCTGTGCCTGATTTTTACAAACAGGAACAACAAACAGATGAATTGTGAAGCTGACTCTGTACTCATAATGTCACCATCAGTGGAATAACTGAGTGCACTAGATGTCTTATAAAAATGAAACTGCAGTGCATTCTTGGAAGAGCTTAATTTCCAACCCTGGTTCTATCACTGCTTTTTCTCTCCAGTCTTTCTGCCTCAGTTTCCCTACTTACCTCACAATGATGCTGTCAGCATTAACTACATCATAGCTACTCTGAGTTTTGTAAAGGTGAGATGTATAAAATGCACAAAGCTTTTAAATACAACCTTCCACTGGTAAAAGTCACCTGAGTGTGGTCTGGGTTATCTGTACTTAACCAGAGATTTCTCCTTCAATCACTGAGAACTGGAGTGTTCTGATCTCAGAGGAAGTCAAACCATGTCAAACCATGAAGTTAAAGTACTTTCTAAGTGCCAGTGTTAGCTGCTGTTAGACAGTAATTCTGAACCTGCTAAGCTTTGCTGGAAATAGGCTTTGGCCTCTGATGGACCTCCTGTTGAGCAAAAATAGGCTTTGTAAGCCGACCTCTACAAATGTTTCTTAAATTGACCAATGATCAATGAAAACTGACTAAAAGTGATTACTCCTCGCATTACACATTCTTTGGGAAGATTTTGGGGTTGGATGAACAAACAGTCCACTAAAAATGGCTCATGTACCCAATTATATACATAACCGTACATCACTGTGCCGATGACTGGGAATGGCAGCTAATTAATGGAAATGGACCTCCTATGTAACATTGTCAGCTTTTACTCTACTGAAAAGCTTCTTACCCATGCCAGCATATGCTTTTTCCATTTCATGCAATTATTGCCAAACCCTTCCTGGCAAGCACTGCCATGGCACAAAGACGTGCTGGCTTTTTCCTGTCCCAAATCCCCCATAACCCTGGGTGGTCAGCAGCTGCCAAGGACTCCTCGTCAGTTCACACAGGTGATCTTTAAAGTCTTCCAAAACAAAGTACCTGTCAAAATCTCAATGCAGTAGAATGTCTCCAGGGAAAAGCAGAATAAGAACAAAAATTTCATGCCCTTTTCCTCCAATATTTTATGTAAAACATTCTCAGGGTAAAATGCTGCTGGGGTTAAAAACAAACACCTCACGATGGCTTACACGCTGTTCTGTAAATAATGAATCTCTAGGGCTTCATCTCAGTCTTCATAAGGGATAAGAAGAGTTGCTTTTTCTCCCTGGACCTTGTTCTACCACCTGTGTAGTGACAAAATGTTTTAAATCATTCAGGTCTCATTTCAGGGGTACCTCTGTTGTCCTCAGCAAAGGTATGGCAGGCATTACTTTGGCTCCCAAACTGCTAGCTTTTGATCCCACTGATGCTTTTTTTTTTTTTTGCTTTCTCTTCCACTGTATTGGACAGTGAAGAATTATTTGTCTGACAGAACAATACCTTAAATGATCCATCTTGCTCTTGTAGGGATTAGCAGCTTGTTCTGATGCTACGAGATGTTCATGTGAGTTGGCTTTATTCATGATTCTCAGTGCTGAAGTATCCTCCATGGAGACTGCAACTATCAGCACATAGAACTCTAATTTAAGCCAAAATGCTTAGCCTGACCACCGATGTATTCAGATTATGGCTCTGTTAAGCTTCAGTAGAAAAGAGGGTGACTTCAATAGTAAGTAAGTTTCAAGAATAAATAGTAAATCAACAGAATACTGTTTTACCTCTGGTCTTCCTCAGAACAACCGCATCAAAAGGCTTGGTAGGGATATTGGGATGAAAAGGCTGATGACTGCTTGCATCAATCCCGGTGTCTCGATCTTCAGGTGATCTGAAGTTTGGGAACACGGCGTACCTAGAGATGTGTGTCTGGTAGGGATGAGAGGTGGGAAATGGCAGGCAGAGTGGTCTTGGGTTGGTTTGAGTTGGCAGGAAGAAGGACAGAAAAAAAGAAAATTTCCTTATTTCACATTTCACAGAGTTTTACCATTAAATATAACACTTTTCAAGAACTGGGAGAGATGTGAGAATCGGAAAGGCAGTATCTTATTTCTTTATTTCCCTCTTGCTTGCACCCTGCAAAGAATTCACTATGATGATTCCCTTGCTGCTTTTGTACATAATCAGTCATACCAGTTCATATTTACTTTTATGTGGCTTAATGGAAGGAAAAGGTGGACTTCTGATTCTTGCACAGCTTCAATTAATAGTAAGTGAGTTTGTGCTTGTGAAATCAAAATTTGCCTTTAAGAAGATGTTTGTTTCTGGGAGGAAGGAGGATAAAGCTAAACTGGTGAGTTTTATGGGATACTGAGAACGGTGATTTCATGAAGTGCCCATGTTCCTGTGGCTGTTCTTTTCAGCTTTCGTTTTTTTTGTGATAGAATAATTAAAAAACTTACTGAAATCAGGGGAATCCTGAAATCTTCTGAGGAAAATGAAAGCAGCGATTTCTTCCAGTAAGAGAGACTAGCAACCTGTTTGGATTCTTCTAAACTTTACCACAACTGCATACAACAGCTTACTGAGAACAAATGCCTTTCCCCAATTGCTTTATAAAGCAAAGTCACAGTCCTATACAGGAGCCAAATTCATTGCATTCCTGAGGCTGTGCATCACGACGTAATGAGATGTCTTACCAGGCTGGGCTTTTCTGAGGCTTCTCTCTCATAAATCTGCTTTATACATACTTTAGATCCCTTAGCTGTGCTTGGTAGATGGTCTAAAACACTTCAATTCACATTAGGTAAAGAGACCATGAACAACACAGCCGAGAAAACCCAATTAGCCCATAGGGAAGTCAGCAAGATGAGTATTTGTTAGGAGTGTGGGTGTGCCAGGCAAACACTACTAACCTGATAAACCTATCATTACATGCTTCATTTGAGAGAGAGTTTTTTAGCTATTTGCATTGCTGCTTCTTATTGTGAAGGAACCTGCCCTGTGCAATTATGGCTGTAAGAGGAACAACTTGACTTTTTATTTCATTAAGGAAAAATAAGATATAATATAGGTGAAATGTACTTACTTAGCCAAACTGTCTGGTGGTTTATGAAGCCTATAATAGGGAAGAAAGATAAGTTACCTGAAGTGACCCACGTTCATTTGCATCTCCCAGATTTTATCTGAATCAGTGCAATCAATATACATTAGGGACAAATCAATATGTAAGCAATGCAGACAACATTCTTACTGGTACCACTCATTCCATGAGGAATGTTATGTGTTGCCAGGTGCCAAACACTGAAAAGGCACTGGGAACAAGTGATGTGCACAGTGTCTTTTTTAAAGGAGCAAGGGAAAAATCTATCCTCTTACGCTTTTGGGTAATAAGTTCTATATTAATTAACAATGGTATGTGCTTAGTAAAAAGAAATCCTTTTATCAGTAATGCAAACAGAAAACCTATCCCGTTTCTACTTGCAGAGAAAATACTTATTCATTCCATGGGGATAAATTATTTATATTTTGCCATGGAGACTTACTTTATGCTTTAAATAAATTTTAAAATAGCAGTCAAAAGAAAACACGAACTTTAAAGGGCAAGAATTTTATCACCGAGGCTAGCTAAGAGTCTCTTGGCGATGGTACCAAGTCAGAAAAATGTCTAGGATTAAAAAATGAATTAATTTGCGTAATGGTTCTTTGTGGTATGATGAAAAAATAATAAAAAAAAATGCCTGAAAGACAATGTTACTGGAATAGTCTAAGTGGTTCACCTGGAGCTCCAAAATCTCATGTATTTCATGAGGAAGCCTTAATTACGAGATCTTGCTTAAAAGGGTCTTTACTGTATATGGGTAGGAGAGGTTGTGTGATGATAGTCTTTTATTTAAGCTTTATTATTTTTACAGTGATCAGACAAAGTTTCTTGATTCTACAAGCTGTATACTAAAATCTTCATATTGCCAAAGCCCCTTGTTTTTCTCAGTGAGGAGAGGGATGTCCCAGGTTCATTCCCAAACAGGAGATGGTGATAACTTCTCAGGGCTCCTCCTCTTGCTCAGTTTGAGGACGGAGCCGTGAAGGATATTAATGGGCCCTACACAGACTCTGTCATTTCAGCCTTGGCTGTTGAACTTGGCAGTTCCTCTGGGAACTCTGTTCCTCCCACAGCTGGGAATTACTCAGTAGCTTGGTTAATGACAGAGCTATGGCATGGGAGCTGCACCCAAGCTCTGTGTTCAAGTCACCTGTGATTCAAGAGCTGCAACTTGGCCACTCAGTCGTTGAATTAGTGTCCATAAAAATAGGTGTTGCACAGTTACAAAGAGGAAATACACCCCCTTGCTCAAAGAATTTAAATACAGTCCTGTGCTTTCTTTCCATACTGGCATGGGTGTTTTGAAGTTCCACTTGAAGTGCCAGATCAATTTTGTTCCCGTGTTCTGATACAACATGCAGGAGTTGTGCATTTCATTGTGAAACCTGTGCTGTGATGCCGTGGGTCTCAGTGCAATCAACATGAGGTGTGAGATCTCACAAATTACCATGCCAGCATAACTCATGCCTTAACTGAGTTGAACAAAATATCTACTTTTAATGTATGATGCTACAAAGATAACAGGACTTAATCATAAGTGTTGGATTCTGACAACCATTTGTACATTGTTACATTTATAACGACCTAGGATTCTGATTTAAACTTTGTATCTGTCTTGAAAAAAGGAACGCTTTTACAGAAACAGCCATACTTATAGACCAGCAATCTTTAAAAGTTTCTTCCACAGGTAGTTCTAATTGATTTTCCATTTCTATAGTTAAAACTGGTGCTGTATGTTTACTGGTGCTGTAGACATGAAAGAAAATACTGCTTAGTATTTATTGCCAATTCATGTGGTGTTACAATATTTCAATTGTAGGATACAATATTGTACAATTGTAACACCATGTGAATTGAAAATAAACACTAAGAAGGATTTCAATTTCCATCTATTCCATTGTGTTACAATGTGAATTTTTACAGTCTTCATTGCATTCATTGGACATATTCCTGATACAAATATGCAAAAATAAGGACAGTGTCTGCTTTGTGCTCTGGCATGGCAGAACTACTTCAGTGCCTTTGTAGAGCACTTTTTATTATAACATCTAAACTTAAGGCAGCAATAAAATAAGGATGAACATGCATTTTCATGACTCTGCCATGAGTTAGAATAAGTTTTGTGAGCTCAGGTTGTAAGAGCCAGCAAAGCTTTGCATTTTCAAAGGTGTTTAGAGTCTTCCCTGTATTTTTAAAACTCAAACTGAGTAATCAAGCCTGAAATCACCCAGAATGTATAGAAAAGTAGAGCTCTGGCTGAAAAGGAAGAAAGGAATAACAGCTTTTCCAAATTTGACACTGAGATGCTTTCAACTGGAGTTCTAGTAGACTTTTGCTGGAGCCTGACCATATCATACAAGAAACAGTTGCTAATTATTATGCTACCTGCCCCTTTATGTTCAGTCCACAGAGGATATGGAATCTATCAGTCTCTTGAAAAGGAGTCAGACTTAAGATGGAGGGACTTATACTCCAAGTTTGGAAAGCCCCAGAACAAATCCAGGCAGTGGTCCAGATGGACACCATCCCATTTCCCTAGCAATGAGTGTACTGTGGGCACTCATCAAACACGTCTTGATAAAATAGGCATAAACCAAGTTTAATGTGAGGGAAAGTATCCTTATGGGAACACTGGCTTCGCCTCCAGTAGTTCTGCAGCTCCCCTCCTTATGTAGGGCCGAGCACTTGGTGCAGGGACACACTTGTTCAGTAATGGTAATACAAGACACATTGGAACCTGTGTGACCTTCATGAGGAGTTCCCACTTCCCACCATTTTTCTACTCTCCGACACATTGTAGGAGCCTCTGAAGGCTCTCTGTTTCTTCTTTCAGGTGTGATTTTGTGTGGGGAGTGACACAGTGTGGGGAGTGACACAGTGTGGGGAGCCTCATGACCTTCAGCTGCTTTTCTAGATCAGGCCAGAAAACTTTTTTGCTGCTCTTTCCTATTAATTTCCCACGTACTCAATAAATTATTAAGAAAATAAGATTCATGACTCTTGCCAGTTTTAATAGGAAGGAAATTATGACTGGAGAATAAAATGTTTCACATATGTAAATTGGCTTTCCCTGCAGCCCTTTGTTCTTTCAAAGGGAGGCACTCAGTTATCTGCCTAACCTTAAAACCTGCTTGGTCAAGGAGCTGCAGGTCAGGGAACCACCAGGGGTTGGGGAGCTGGGGGACAGCCAGAGGAATGGAAGTGCTGTGTGACATGATAAACAGTGAAAGTAGATTAAAACCCACATGGAAAAAAGCCAGTGTTCATTCATTCTGTGCTGTCCCTGAACACACTGAAAACCTCATTGGTGTCATTTGTCTTTGGAAGGACAACTGCAAATGTTGTAGCCTGATGTAGAGCATGTGTGTGTATAACTAGGGTTCTTGGCAATAGTTGAAGGGTGTTTTTCAAGATCTTTCAGGATTTTGCAGTCTTGTTTGGTGTGAACTTGAGGACTCCTTACACGTTTAGATGGGAGGAGGCAACCACTTTTCTCCAGTACATTTGACTGGGAGAGCACATGTGTGTGGCCCACTGCTAACGCACTTACAAAAGCACATCTGCACAACCCCAGTGATTCGTTCTAGTGCAAAACTGCACAAGGATATGTAGTGTGCCTACTTAAGGCAAAGGCATAGTTGTCCCATGAAAGTGTATAGAGTTACTGCAAATGCCTGGTAATTCATTTCCCACAAAAGACAGTAATGGCTCAAAGGAGCCCTCACAGGCTATAAGGTAAATAAACTGAGTGTTAATAGCTCCCTGGTAGGCCTGCAGAGCACCATTCAGAGGGTATTTTTCACGAAAGGTTCCATGTGGCTGTCACTGCTTAATAGTCCCTGACAGCAGGAAGAGTATTTGCTCTGAAAGACCTTGGACTAGGAACGTGGAAGATTTTTTTTTAATGTGTTTCACTTTTTGTTTTAAAGGATATATTCTTTCCTTCAATTGAAAAGTCTTTCAAAGACCGAGAAAATACAGTCTTACAGGAAAAGAAAATGCTCAAACTAGGGCAAAACATAGACCATAAAATATGTTTAGAGACCCAGCATGTTTCAGGTTAAGATGTGAGTGCAAAATAAGGGAGAAGTATACCAATGTGCTCTTGATCAAATATTCAGAGTCCAAGGTTGTGCACTTTTCAGTATGTACAGGGGCAGAGTTTGATTTGCTCCTGTGTAAAACCTCCTTCCTCCTTATACAGCTAGCACAAAGGCATAGAGTCACGGCAGTCCGTGGTTGCTTCCTTAAGAGGAAGCAACCTTAGGAAATCCCTAAAAGCTGTTGTGATGTCTACCTCAGCCTGTGTACATGGATGATCCGTTCTGGTGAGCAATTGGCACGAGGAACGCTCTTGCTATGTAGTGAATGGGTCCCAGAGCATCCTTAACCAAGAAACATTTGAGGCTGGCCAGCCTGGGAATTACTGAATACACAGCAGGGCTCCTAACTCATGCGAAGCACAGTTTTTATTTTTACTCCACAATTTGCCTGTGTTTCTGCTGTTTCAGGGAGACCAATATAAATGTCATGTGACAGGACACTTATTTGACTAGCTAGTCACAGTGGACCATGTTGTTCCTCAGCATCATTCCACTGCAGTCAATGGAGTTTTCTTGGGGATGGATTAGGTAATGAAACAGAACCACCCATCTTGACTGTGCAACATGAGAGTCCCCGCTTTGCATGGATGCTGGTTTTAAAACAACTTTAAAAGTGCTCTGTTGTCTTCAAAAGTGCACGGGCCAGTTCTTGTCACTTAGTGCTTAGCAAACTTAGACAAGAAACTTGCAGCGAAACTTCCTACTTCCTTGTAGCTTGTAATCAAATTCTGCAGAAGTAGCACAGCCAATGCCTCTAATGTGCATTGCTGGTCAAAGGCCATCAGCTGTCCCAGTAAAAAGGAATTTTGGCTTGTATGCTCTTGTAGGTAACCACACTCACTTCTGCTTGTGCTGCATGCTCTTACGAGGTAATAACGAGAGCAGCCTGCAAAAAGCAGTGGATTACAAAGAGCAGGGTTGCAGGGTTCTTTGTGTAGCTTCTGTGGCCTGCATACAATTAGCTCTTCTGCTTTTCTAGGGTGTCTGAGTTTATACAAAATAGGGAGCAGGTACTTCATGTGCAAAGAGGCTAAAGGGAGAGTGGTGGGCTCAAACAATGCACCTCACAGCCCTATAAAGATAACCGAGAAATTGTCACAGAATTATTCTCAGGTTTCTAATATGTTCTAGTTAACAATGCTAGGTGTAACTTGTTCATCTTCTGCTTTTGAAGAATTTACATTTACACTTTAAATGACCTTAATCTAAAATCTTGGTAGTTTGATCAAATTTAAGCGTTTTGCTGTTGCCATCAAGTGGCGAAATGTTGGATTGCAGCACTCCAGCAGCATCCAAATTCACTCGATCTGGTTGGTATACCTTGAACAGCAGCAGTGAGAAAAATAATCCTTGCCAAGCCTCCTCCAAAAATGTATCTACATGTATATATATACCAGAAAAATGGACTAAAATACACATGATGTCACGGTTACTTGAGTTACTTCAGTTGAATCTGGATTCTAACTGCTAGAAAGGCTAATATTTTTGAGTATTACAAGTTGATAAATATGGACAACCTGTAAAGCAAACTCAGAGACCCTTGTTGAGGGGGTACAACGCCATATTCTGAATTTCCTTCCCAACTGTGTTTGTTCTCCTTTGTTACTAGCAACGGCCCTTCAGATTTCGTATCATATCTGCATTTCATATCATATGTGCATAATATCACCAGAGTGGAATGAATATTCAGTTTGCTGTTACATTCACTAAACTCACAGTCTGGTTAACGCACAGTTTAAACTTACAGTTCATCATTCATATACATATCACTGTTTTTCAGCTGGGTGATGTCACAGTGCTGCTCAGTGGGGAGGACTCTGTGCAAAGAGAAAGCATAAATGTAGACAGCCTATGCTCTATTTATTTATAAAAATCCAAATCAATTTATATGTTTTTGTCTTGATTTTTTCAGATAAGCCTTAATATCAAAACTCATAGATGTTGCTGGTGTGGAAATCTATCCTCAGTTTCAAAATCTAAGTCCTGCAGGGCAGGATTTTGAGAGGTGCTGAGCACCCATGCCTGAATCCAAAGTTCCTGAGAACACTGAGCGTTTCCCTCTCTGAAGGCCTGGCCCTTACAGCCCCTCACCACACACCCCTAACACTCAGTAGGAGCTGTGGGAATGCCTTGAATGGGTGCAGGTTCCATCTTTTGATCCCATAAGCAGTTAAGTTATTCCTACATTATGGGGATCACTTTCAGCCAATGGGCTCCCAGAATCCAGCCAAACTGCATGGTCCTTACCACTGAAAAGAATCTGATGAGAAGACAGCACCATACCTGTCTTTGAGTGTAAACAATGGAAACCAAATCAGTTGTTAGTATGGGAGATCAGGTTAAAAAAAAACCACAAACAACCCACAACAGAAAAGAGAGCAAATAGAGGTGCGAAAATGAAGGAAATGCAGTTGGAAAAAAAATCAGCCGTCACCAGTAAGATTTTCCTGGTATTAGAAATAGCCTTATAGTTCTGACCTGGCCTTGCTGAAGCTGAGCTTGACCCAAAGGTCAATCACGTGTCTGTTGCTGAAAGGAATGGGTGGCCTTAATTGCATGGCTGAAGAAGAGATGTTGGCTGCAGGAAAGGGAGAGAAATGATGCTGAATCAGAAGGGATTGGTTTGGCTTTTATGGCTGTCTCAATGGGCTGCCAAGGCTCGCGGGTTATAGCACAGTCCAACAAGGAATATGCTCACAATACTCAGGGTCTAATCATGAGTTCAGAATTGTCTTTTCTTTCTTCTTTAAGCACTATCCCACATGAGCACTGTCCAGTGTGTAATGTGTAATGGGTGCTGTCAGTTGAGCAATGTGGGCATCTATGATCAGACCTCGCCTTCCAGCTCGCATGCAAGGCTGTGATATGAACATATTTATTTAGGCTTCTCATACTTCCCCTGCAGAAATTTGTGCCAGTGATATCAGAGGCACAGCCACAAAAATACTTCATTTGCATCTTGCTCACTTCAGCTTTCTCCTCTATGATTGTTTGCACTAGAGTAAATTCCTAATTAATTTCCAGCCTGTGTCTCTTGTAGGTTTCACTGAGATCAGTGAAGTTGGTGCCATTGGGGATACTGTAGCTCCTGCTACTTACCTAGAGGCTAATCTGTGTAATACAGAAACTTAGTGTGGAGGAAAGGCTACTCTATTTTGCCCCTACAATAGCACTATCAGGATTGTGACATCTGGCTATGCTCTGAACAGCTCTTCTGTAGTATCACTTTACTGTGAGAGTTGCCTAAGACAAACAAGAAATGGATGTCATGAACATGCGTTTATAAAGTCTGGTGTGGTCCCACTTCGAGTACTCTGTGCAGTTTTGGGTGCCTCAATATAAGGACATCAAACTATTAGAGTGTCCGGAGGAGGGCACCCAAGATAGTGAAAGGACTTGAGGGCAAGACTTATGAGGAGCAGTTGAGGTCACTTGATTTGTTCAGCTTGGAGAGGAGAAAGCTGAGGGGTGATCTCAGCATTGTCTATAAATTCCTCAAGAGGGGCAGCGGAGGGGAAGGTGCTGTTCTCCTCTCTGTGGTGATAAGCCACAGGAAATGGAATTGAAGCTGCCTCAGGGGAAGTTCAGGGTGGACATTACGAGAAGGTTCTTCCCTGAGAGGGCAGTTGGTCACTAGAACAGGCTCCCAAGGGAAGCTGACACTGCACCAAGCCTGTCAGAGTTCAAGGAGTGTCTGGACGATGCTCTTAGTCATACTGTTTAGGTAGTCCTGCGAGGAGGAGGGAGTTGGACTTGATGATCCTTATAGGTCCCTTCCAAATCGAGATATTCTATGATTCTATGATCATTTTACAGAGAGCCTAGTTCATAACGCAGACAGGAAAGTCTCTTTCCAGTCTTTGAGTCATGTTTTAACCCTTGGACAGCACACAAGTGCCTAGTCTTCATCTTCAATTCCTGTTCTCCAGGGAAGCCTGCAGGGCTGTCCTTGAACTTCTCCAAGTCAGCCCTAAGCAGCAGCATGTTCTGCCTTCAAAGCTTTTCCGTATGTCAGTAATTGTGATTTGAAACCTACCTGAGTATCTCAGCAACAGAGATTTGGCATCATCGTTTGCCTGTCTATCTGTCAGCTAGTAAGTCTTTTGGTTTTGTTTTGTTTTGACTAATGCCATCATGGTGAAAAAGAAGTTTTGGAGCTGGTTTCAGTGGAAATGGCACCAACCCCAATATATTCTAGAGAAGAAATTTGTTGTGGGAAGAGGCTAGGAGAAGGAACCCTGAGTCAGAATGCATACCCCAGAACTCTTCCCCTCATCTGTTGTCTAGATGGTTCTCTTCTGAAAAAACTGAACACTGACTTTTCATGTTTATGCCTATGGGATTTGTGGATGCTGAGGATCGGTTTAAGTTAGGCCAGTAGTGATATTTTTAAGGTCAGAAAGGGTGTTTGGGACAACGCCCAACAGTAAATAATTATCAAATGATGTGCAAAGAATAAATATGGTCATTTGGAACTTTAAGTGTTTCAGTGAAAATACTGTGCAGAGATTTGTGGGTACCAGTATATTCCCACATTAATATTTAGGGCAATGTGAAAAAGGTAGAAGCTTAAGTTGCCCATTTTTGGAATGCAGATATTTGCATGTCTTGGTCTACATTGCTGTCTAACCTGTTAGCTGTCTGTTGCTGCTCTTGTTAAAAACCCATCACTTAAACATTTTGACTGTGAGAGTATTTGTCTAGCCTACCTTGGCCAAGGGTCTACACCACTACCGTAATGTTGATGTACTTTAATAAAAGTACGTGGAGACTTTTTCTTTGCCCTGTGGTCTTCTGGAAATACAGGTAGTGCAATTCCTCCATGCTCCCTTTCTGCTCCCCAGGGTAGCTTGCAGCAGTGAAAGGCTTCCCTGAACTCTTTATATCTGAAAAGGAAAAACCAAATCCAAAATGTCCTTTAACGGCAGCAACAGCGATGGTTACTTGAAATCTTTTAAACAATGACAACTTGGCTTTATTTTGTTGGCTCTGAGTTACTCAGTCTTATTCTGGGTAACGCTATTATGGTGAGCTGGCACTAGAAGAAGTAAGTACAATGGTGATTGGCAATTGCTTAATGAAGGTTGAATCAAGTCTATTACGTTTTGATCAGTGAGAGAAAGAAAGAAGCTGATAGATAAGTGCAGCATGTAGATCTCACAGTGTAATCAATCAGCTGCCAGCATGTAGATACCTGCACTGTCCCTTCACTACTACGTAAGTGGCATATGGACAGCAAATATATGCAGCGGCACAGATGGAAGCTTTAGCATCTAATTCTCACTGATTTCAGATTTGTTGTTTGTGTCTTTCAAAACCTCCCCTCTCCATCTCTCGAGAGGAGAGAAATGTTACTGTTTAGTAGCTGTAATTCACACTGAATGCAAGCTGTGTCAAGCACTTCACATGCTGAGGATATTCAGTACATTTCCATACATCTGTGTCATATGAAATCAAGCATTTCAATGTGTTTAGATGCATGTTCACCTCACATGGTTTTGGTTTACAGTGTTGTAAAGATGGACACCAAACTCACTGAGAATTTAAAGCTTCTGTTTCTTTTGGGTGGCAGCAGTTTTACAGTCAGGAGAACACATGCACAGCTGACTGTCTTCCTGTTAAGGAGATAAGTCCTGCGAGGAGCAGGGAGTTGGACTCAATGATCCTTATGGGTCCCTTTGAATTTGAGATATTCTATAATTCTATGATCTCATCAGAGCCAAAAAGTGATTTAAATTTGACTTAGTTGTCCAGGATTTTCTGAAAACCTTATCAAGGAAGTAATTAACTGTTCTGGTATGTGATGGGGATGGTCACCCTCGGGATGTTTTACTGGTGTGCTGTCTTCATTCATATGAAACCAGAGGGAGTCATATTTAGGTGAATGGGGTTGGGAACCAGCATCCACATCTGTGTTTGTTGTCTGTCCTTCCATCACAGAGTGGCCCCAATTCTTGCTTTAGCTAGACCTCATCTGTACTACCATCCTTTTCTGATATTGGATGTTTGTTTACTGATGAGTGAAGCAGCTGGACATGGCTGCAGATCAGCAGGAGTGCTTTTGTTGACAGTGGTATAGCCACTGCACTGCTCTCACAACAGAGGCTGTGGTGAATCATGCAGATATTCCAACTTGCTCCCAGTTATCTTGGGTTTCTCTGTCCCGTGCTCCAAAGTATGGTGTTGCTCTAGGTTTCCAGATGTGTGATTCCTGATGGAGCGATAGGTATCAGCTAAAGAAATCCCTGTTTAAGCAGAGATGTTGTTAATCTTTGTTAATGTTGATCATTACTTTGGAGATGGAGCGAGAGGGTGTTTTTTATTAAACCATACTGGGAAAAAGTGCCACTCTGCAGGTACTAGCTAGATTCAGGCTTATGGTGTTTTTTAGGTGCAAGGCCGCCCTAATTCTGACTTCATCTTACATTGATTCAAAGGTAGAATAACATCCCTGAGCCCACATCTCCTAAAACATGAGGGGAAATAGGCTTGTTATTATGTGAGCATTTCAGTGAGCATTACAGTCCTGACCTCGTTATGAGTATAGGCTTTTAAGGAAGAAAAAATAATGGCTACAAAACCTTTTCCTCAGAGTACATTTAGACTCCGTGGCAGAGTCCTAGATATCTAAACAGATCTCAGGGAAATCTATGGGAGAGATCATGATCTACAAGACCCAGGCAGTGCTTCTGTGTTGTGCTTTGTTCTCTGTTTTTGTGGCAGTGCAGTGCCCTCCTATCGTGTAGTTCCATCTGTGTGGTTCAGCACCACTCTGCTGCTGCCTGATGCTGTTACCTTTCTCCATTTTGCCAGGGTGCAAAGGGCTATATGTATTGTACGATGAACCAAAATAAGAATCTGATGTGCCTTAGATTGTCAGAGAGCTTTCCTGTTTTTTGGTTTCTGAAGGAACTCAAGCATCAATTTCTTAAGTTCTTTCTAAAGCCTCATTTCCCCTTCCTGAAAGTAGGCAGTCAGATGCCAAGTCACCTGCATGGCTGTGGTGTTTGTATTCATTAAGCTGACTCTCACTGGAAACATTAATAAATCATTCCTGTTGACTGCTATCGATAGGTTACTAAGTTGCAGAACAACCACTTTATCTTAGACAGAAAATAGAAGCATTGCACACATGGGTCTGATCATCCATTCTGCCCAAACAGGACGTTGTTAAGCTTAAAATGTTTCCAAGTCTCCTTCTCACAAAGAAACATTTATAGGTGATACTGATCCAGTGATATTGAAGATCTCAGGGACACAGAAAAAAAACGGCTCTGTCCAGAGACTATCAAATGAGGGCTAGGGTGAACAAGGTTTTAAAGAGTGTATCATGAACAATCCTTAAGAGTCTCAGAAGTACAGTCAATGATTTAATAGAGACTATTACCATTTCTGACTTCCACAATTGTAGATTTATTCTGAATTCTGACAGCCAACTTCCACCTTTCTGGCTCTTTGATCTGACAAAAAAAACCAACCCCCCAAAAAGGTAGCTAACATTCTGGGATCAGAACATTAGTTCACTAGTTACATTTTTCCCTTCAAATTTGTTTTGTTGTGGGGACCTCAAACCAGAGTGCATGAATACAGTGTCTTAGATTGTGAGCTTCTGCAGGGCTCCAGTAATTGATTTGATCAGTGCATGAAGCCAAGACATCTGAGGGGGTGTGTTGCCAACAGCTTCCAGAAGGTCTGTGGAAAGAGAGTTCTTAGAGGGATAGGATTAGTACCTGCCTCTGTGTGAGTTCCATAGGGTGTATTCACAGTGGCGTTTTAATTTGGGTCAGGAGTGCACTTTTGATGTGAATCTCCCAATGGTCTCTATTTTGCACTGCCTTGAACTTGCAGTACATGTACTGGGATGAAATTAACTGGAAGATGTGCTCCAAGAATGCACCAGGAGGGCACCACAGCCACAAATGGACCTTCAGTCCCTAGAATCCCGCTAGAAGTGATACAAAATAAAGAGCACCTGAAATGCATGTTTTCTCTACCTCAGAGCCTCGACACCAACTGTTTCACTCTACACATCTTCTCCTGTAGTCCACAATACTTGCCAGCACAGACATAGTCACTGAGCAACATACTGATTTGGAATTCAGTGAATTTTTTAGGGGGTGGGAATAGCTGAACTTTTTTTCTGATTAATTCTTGCCCAATAAACATATAAATAATTATGTACATCATCTTAGTATATCAACACTGAATCTGACTATCTGATCATAGGGTAAAATCCTTAGAGTAACTTCTTTGTGTATATATAACCTCACATTATACAAATACACCAATGTGCCTTTGGTTATTCATGGGCACTGTTTATCAATGCAAATCACAGAATCACAGAATGGTCAGGGTTGGAAGGGACCTCTGGAGATCATCTAGTCCAACCCCCCTGCCAGAGCAGGTTGCACAGGACAGCATCCAGGCGGGTCTTGGATGTCTCCAGAGTGGGAGACTCCACAACCTCTCTGGGCAGCCTGTTCCACTCTCAAAGTAAAGAAGTTCCTCCTCATGTTAAGATGGAACTTCCTATATTCAAGTTTGTGCCCGTTACCTCTTGTCCTATCACTGGGCACCACTGAAAAAAGACTGTTCCCATCCTCCTGGCACCCTCCCTTTAAGTATTTATAAGCATTAATAAGATCCCCCCTCAGTCGTCTTTTCTCTAAACTAAAAAGACGCAAGTACCTCAGCCTTACCAAATATTGGTAACAAATACTCTAGTCCAAGATGATAATGTAATAAAATTAATGGATGAATATTTTTCAAAGCTGAGGGCAACTGTGTTCTCTTTATTTATTTGCTTGTAATTATGTAACTAGAAAAAAATGCACCATTTAAAAAACAGGTATGATATTGTAAAACATGCTGTCATCTTTTCCGGTATAAAGTGGTGCGTTCATGTGAGTGTACATTTCCTTTGGCAGGAAAATGTAGCTTACGGTCTGTATTACAAGACAGATTTTCCAGAGAAAAGAAATGTTACGACTTGGCCATGCTTATTTCTTGTTTGTGTTTCAGTGTTGGGTCTAACATAGTTGTCATTGGAAAAATGCTTTGCTGGTGCATTTAGATCCTGACATTGCAGTCCATTCTGTTACGACTTGGCCATGCTTATTTCTTGTTTGTGTTTCAGTGTTGGGTCTAACATAGTTGTCATCGGAAAAATGCTTTGCTGGTGCATTTCCTGACATTGCAGTCCATTCTAAGCTTAATTTTTCCTTTTGCTTGGTATCCCGTGCAGCCAACATGAATGTTTCCTATACATTCACTAAAATGTAGATAAGGCCTATAATGCAGTAAACTTTCAAGTCTGTCATCAGTTAAAACAGTTCAGATGGAAACTCACCCAAATTCTTGTAATGCAAGGAATAAAAAAAAAATCCCCTTGCCTCAGGGAAGAGTTGTAAGTGGGAGGCATCAAGACACAGTTTGACAAGTGTGATAATCCAGTAATATCAAAATACTCGGACTGGAATTCAGATGTTGGATATGAGACATGACAAATAATGGAAGAAGTTAGCAGTAGTAGTAAATCAGAAGGCTGTCAGTAAGATGGAAACTAAGAATTGATTTTGCTAACAAAAGAGATAAAATCTCACGTGAAAGAACACTGGGAGACTTGAGGCTACCTCTGGAATCTGTTATGTATGTAAACAATAGAAATTTAGATAAAGAAAAAAATCTGTCATGAGCACTGAGCAGCATGGAGGTTCAGCTTTCCAGAACTTTAAAAACTGCAGGAATTCTGCCATATTCTGTCCCCTAGGTAACAGTATAATTGGACCTGTAAATTATAGCAAAAATGCATTGGTTCCTGAAACTTCCTGATTACACACTGATGATTACGAAAGCAAAATGCAGGCTTCCTGTAATTTTAATTTTAATTTTAAAGTTTATCTCAGTAATTCTACGTCAACCTGTAATCTAGGAAAAAAAAAAAAGGTTCAAAACAGGAGCAGATCAAAGAATAACATGATAAATGTTGGTGATTGGTTTGTGAGATATGATAATTTGTTCCAAATTAGAAATACAATATACATGTTGTTTTCATTCTTTATGAAAGCTATTTCAAGAGATTTTGAGTCCTAAAGCCACAGTATAACGTATTTTAGAAGTCTTGTTTTCAGGTGTAATCAACATATTTCCCAGGTAACTGACAGACTATCACACAAAGCAGAAAACATTTTGTTTCATTAAAAAAAAAAAAGAAAAAAAATGTGTCTTGATGGAAAAACATAACTATTAGAAAATACTTTTGGTAGTAGCAAGTGGATATCAAATACTTTTAATGGAGCCATTTACCTTTTTGAGTTCTGTTCTTACCTGTCTTGTGAGACAGTTGGACGAGAAGGAATTTGAAGTGGAGTTAGTACCTCATTGGACTCAAAGGTTCTTGATAGGATTTCATTTCCCTCAATTTCTCTATAGCAGTGAGGCAGGTCATGCAGCAGCATCATGTTTCATATATGAGCTTCTAGGGGAAGATATAGGGATAAAATACCAAATATCAAAGGTTTTGTTGGTGCACCTGGATGCTAAGGAGGAAACATAGATGAATTCTGCCTAATTCTGGCAAGTGTCAACAGGAAACAATGGTTGCTTTTACTACTGCTACTGGTTATTTGTTCCAGGTTACAAAATAAAACCAAAAAAAAAGAGGCAGATTGAAGAAAGAGGTGCGATACTGTTGCTTTGTATTACTGATGAACAGAAGCTAGAAATAAACTTTCAAGTAATGGGAGGAGAAAGTTTGGACTTGCACTCAGAAAGTCACTCGTGAAAGCCTCACTTGGTGAATTTGCATTCATTGTAATGTCCTGTTCTGAAAACGATGATATTAAACCCATGATACTTTTCGCAGAAAATATTTTTTCCCATAATTGCCATGATTTTTGTCTTTCTACCTCTGTGCGGAGGGGAAATGCTTTAGTTCTCCTTTCATTTGAGTGAAGTTGTGTTTCAACACTGGTTGATTAGCTCTTTGTGAGGAGAGGTGCTATATTAGGTCCGTATAAACCTCTCTGCTCTCTGGAACACCATGCAGGCATTTATATATGAAGAAGTTGTCTCTGTTCTCAGCTGCTCTGTTGTGCAAGAGAAAAGCACCAGCACTGGTACTTTCTACCCAGTGAAGCTCTGGTTCACAGCATCGAGAGTCTTCTCTCAAAAAACACTAGCAGCTTCTTAGATGAAGTATCTGAAGAAGCCCAACTGCTTCTGCCCCCTCCACCAGGAGCCAGCAGAGCATTTCCTTGTACCTGTCCCTGCTTCTTCTGGGAGAATCCTCGGTTTTCCTGAGGAAGCCCTCAGGAGGCTGTTTGCTCCCTGACAAGCCCAGTAGGGGTGTGTGATAATGTTTAGAAGTTCACAGGTTCAAAGGGAAGCACTGAATTCACTCTGCTCTCTACGAGCTATGACAAGGCTCCTTTTGACTGAAAACCAATGGCTCATCACACGGAGAAGGCTGAGAGACCTTTGTTTTACCTGCTTACGTTTTGAGTTGTACCTTTAAGCCACTTCTGCATTGCTCTGCCCTTAATGGTCTGCTAGCTTTTGGATATGGATCTCACAATGGCAAGAGGAGTCTGAGGACAGTCTCAAGGAGAAAGGAGCAATATACATTCATCTCACTGGTACCTTTGCTATCCTGACCTTGGCAAAGCTTTAACAAAAAGGGTATTTTGATCAAGCCCTTTCCTTCTCAGGCATATGGCAATGAAATGCAAACGATTTTGCTTTGCCTTAACAAAATAGGAAACTAATTCGGAAATATTTGAAATATGTTATTCTTTGAGGATGTCTGGGATGTTGGGCCATATGTATTGTAAGAAAAGAAGCTGATGTGGCACGTTCAAGTGAAAAAAATCAAATTAATTATGTTTTGGCAGTTTTCTAGAGTGTTGGGTGGTCTGCTATGGTATCTACATGAGCACTATGGGAATCTTATACTAATGAGTCAGATTCAAGTTCTCCTGGCTTGCAAAGAGAAAAATGTTCAGAGTTGTTGATTTGCAATCTGCAAGTGGGTAAGAAACAGAAGCGAGACTTTCCTTCCAGCAGGAACTGCTGTGGTTCTGTAATGTAATGCAGTTCTGAGTCCACACCGCCCAGACCCTAGCAGAACTTCCTCTCTATCCAGCTTGATTAACTTTTCAGGAAAATCTGTTTCGGGCTACCACAATTACAGCTGGAGCCTATGACTACTAGTTTTTTTTGCCCTTGCCTGTTGCACATATAGGGCGGTGACACAGTTCATAGCTTCTCTTTGCAGCTCCACGACAGCAACTGCCCACTGAGGCAGGGGTCTACACCACCAACTTTACTTCATCAGTCTACTGGCATTTCAACCATCGTCCATAGCACCAGGTCATGATCTGACTGCGTTCAGCTCCAAATCCACAAAGTACATGTAGACTTACACCCATCATACCAACACCAGCCCCACTGATAGGTAGCAGTTCATACCCTCTCATCAAAAGGGTTCTGAACATACATGTCACATGTCCCTGCAGCTGTAGTAGTCTAAAGCCACCACACAAATCCCAAAACATGCCTTCAGCTCCAGAAACACAGTTCATTGCACAGCATTTCCAGGTGGCTGGCTTGGGAACCTCAAGTTCCCAGCCCTTCACCCCTTCCTTTAGCAGCAGGATCCAGACCAAGGGTCAAGGCATCTCCATGAACAATGCTCTCCGGACACAGTCCAATGCATGTAGAAGGACACCCCATGTCTGTCCAGTTCTGGCCCAGTTCCTTGGCAGAAGAAGCCGAGGGGATTATATCTCAGTGAGGCCACTCAGGCCAGAGGGCTGGCAGTAGGTAGGGTAGGATAACAGTAGGAGAAAGGTGATGAAGTCAGGTGGAGCCAGGTGCTGGCAGGACCAAAGTCCCAAGTCCTTATTGATCCAGGGGAAATCACCCACAAAGGAAAATCACTAGTTTCCAGGATGATGTCTCTCCAAAGCAGGAAACACAATCGTTCCCATTTCAGCCCCAGAGCTTTCAGAAATCCATGTCTAAGAGAATGAATTCTCTCACTGTGAGCCTTCTGATGAGGAAAAGCTTTTAGTGGGGCAAGGCAGGAAGTTACAGGAAAACAATACATTTATGTCCTGAGGAATGCTACCTAAGTAAAACTTAATTTCTAAATGTAGCAAACTTTCAAATATCGTGTTTACAAAACCCCAAAGAGATATTATTCCAAAGCAGCAGACAGTATCTGGGGAGTAGCCCCTCTCCTCCCAAGCTTTGTCTGTCTGTCTTCAGAAGACACAGGAAACTGCAGAGCAGATCTATGAACTAAGCCTACCTTCTCATTCAGTGCAGCGCACTGAGTATGCTTTGGCCTGTGTTCTGGTAGTACTTGACATCACGGTAAGAGGGTGTTGGGGATCTTTTGGGGTGATACACAGAATGAGGCAGCTGGTGATGTCAGCAGAAGGTTACCTAGCACATGAGGGGGCAGGATGCTAGAACACACTTGCGAGCTAGGATCCAAGATGCAAGTAGATGATGAGCTGTTTTACCTTTTATGAATAAAACAGTAAATATAGCCACAAGCCAAGCCAAAAGCCAGTTTGTTACAGAAAATTCGACTGGGAGTAATTGAGTGAAGTCGTTCGGGTGTCAGTTCAATTGTTGACAGACTGGATGAGCCTAGAACATTTCAAATAAAGCAGGCAGCACAGCAGCACGACTTCTGTGAATTGCCATTTCTTATTCCTATTCTTGGAGATATCAGTATTCTTTGCTTAGGTCTTGTGTGGGATTTTCACACCATCCTTTGAAACAGTTGGACCTGGCTACTGGTGGAGCTTGGATTATGGTTAGTTGTCATGCTGGATGTTTCTCCCTCCTTGTGTTTGACAGACATGGTGATAGATTTTGATCTGGTTTACTTTCTTCTGCTGACCTTTTCTTTTCTCTCAATGTGGTTTTTGTTTTAGTTGAATTGGTGTCAAAATAAATGGATGAGTTTGAAAAGAGTGTTTTTGTTCTTTTGTTTCTTTCACCAGACAGGGTAAAATTAGCTGGAGGTCCTACTTTTCTTGGAAAAGCAGCGTGAAAAAAAGCTGGAAGCAAGTCTTTTGGCAAGTGATAATACATAAATAGCTTTTCTGAATACCTATTAAATGCACTGTAGTGTTATTATTATCCAGTGGAGCCGGTAATTGGTTTATTATGATTTTGGACCACTGGTTTGTTTTTAACATGGATGGCTTGGCCATCACATTAAAGTGAAGTACACTTTAATGTTTGTGCCATGTACAAGTGATGTAGCTGTATTAGTACTTCCCAGAGTTCATAAGTTTAATATATTCTGAAAAAAAAAAATACTTTCAGTGATTGTTTTTTTTCATGCTTCATCTTAGTCTGAAGCTGAATGTATGGAAAGGCTCAGCAGAATCTTTTCCTTCATTTCATTAATTACTCAGCTGTTGAAAAACTCTGTTATTTCCTTCAAAAAAAATACTATGGAAGATTTAGAGTTGTGGTTTTAAGATACTATGGGAATGACCTGCCATAGTTGTTGTTATAGAGGGTGTGCTGACTGGAGGGAAAAGGCTTAGGACATCACTTCTACCCTCTAAATCTTCACACAGAAGAGGTCACCCCACATGTAAATCTATCAGTACCGGCAGCTGGATGTTAGCTGTATCTCCAGGTTAGTGAGTTTCTTTAGGAAACAACAAACTGAGAGGACTAAGGTCACTAGTACCTGTCTGTATAGCTCCCTTACCAGGCTACACTGGCTATTCTATGCTGATGTGACAAAGGGGTCAGGGAAAGATGGATACCATAAAATCATGTAATCACAGAGTGGTTGAGGGTGGAAGGGACCTCTGGACGTCATCTGATCCAACCCCAGCTCAGGCCTGGCCGCCTAAAGCAATCTGCCTAGGACCATGTTTCCAAGGAGGGAGACTTCACAGCCTCTCTGGGTGACCTGTACCAGTGCTCAGTCACCCTCACAGTCAAAAGCATTTCCTTATGTTCAGGCAGACCCTCCAGTGTTTCAGTTGCCTCTGGTCCTGTCATTGGACACCACTGAGAAGAGCCTGGCTGTGTACTCTTTGCATCCTGATGAGATCCCCTCCGAGCCTTTTCTTCTCTAAGCTGAACAGTCCCAGCTCTCTCAGCCTTTCATCATATGAGAAATGTTCCAGACCCTTCATCATCTTAGTGGCCTTTCACTGGACTTTGTTCCAGTATATCCATCTCTCCCCTGTACTAGGGAGCCCAGAACTGTACAGAGTACACCAGTGCTGAGTAAAGGGGAGGGATCACCTCCCCCAACCTGTTGGCACACTCCTCCTCATGCAGTCCAGGATACCATTGGCCTTCTTTGTGGTGAGGGCATGTTGTTGGCTCAGGTACAACTTGGTGTCCACCAGGACCCCCAAGTCCTTTTCTGTGAAGCTGCTTTCCAGCTGGTCAGCCCCCAGCACGTACTGCA